TTTAAAAAGGATTAATGTAGGGTATTTTTTTTTATAAAAGTTTAAAAAATGTAATGTTAATTAATGTACATGTATTGTATAAATTAACTTAAATAGTAATCAACGTAATTAATGTCTATTATTAATTAGCAAAAGTAAATAATTCTCTTGATAATTTATTTTATTTAAAACAAAATAAGTAGAGCTTTCTTTACATATTTTTTATTAATTTGTTTGTCCAATAGTAGCAAAGTCATTGAACGGGTGTTTAATAAATTACTTTATTAATTTAATTAATACATAACAAAAATATTTGAGTAGGTAATTAATAAATCAATCAAAAAACTTAGAAGTATATAATTTAAATTTTTTGTCTTATAAAACATTTTACTTTTATCTATTTATTAATTAAAATTTAATGTTGTGAAATTTTAAATCACTAAAATTTTATATGTCTTTATTTGCTCAACTTTATATTTATTTTTTTTATTATATTTTTTAAATTATATGCATATACTTCTAATATTTTTATTATTTTTTGAAATTTTCATTTTTTTATTTAACTCTTTTTTTTTAATAATATGCTGAAATTAGCAAATATACAATAAGTTTCTTTGATTTTTTACTTTTATTTCATTCTATTTCTTTTTAAAATGAAAAGTAAAAAAATTTATTTAAAAAAAATAATAGTATCCTTATAAATATTTTAACACAATGTGTACAATATATTTGTTTGATACAAATATCATAAATAAGTACTAATTAGATTCATTAATTTTTATATTTATATAACAGAAGTGTATATTAAAAAATAATCTAATCATATATCTAATTAATATTTAAAAAATGAATTACATGAAAACGAAAATATATACAATTAAAAATAGTAACATTTAACATACGAAAATTAATTTTAATAATATATTGTATTATGAGTTAAATAATAAATGTATATACGATTCAATATTACAAAAATATAGTAAATAATACAATAAAAAAATTTCTTGATAATTTAATTCTAAAAATAATGCAATCACTTAAAAAAAAAAAATTCTATACAGTTTTATATAATTATAATTATGTAAAAATAATATGAGTTAATATATAAAAAAATTGTAAAATGAAATACATGGGGTTCTTATTGTTCTAGAAGTGTATAAAAAAAAAATTAATAAATGAATAGCTGTATAAACTTCACAACGTATATAAACGAAAAATATACTAAAAAATTCTAATTTTTTTAATATTCACATTTTTTATGAAGAAAAAAAGTTAGAAAAAACTAATAATCTTTAATATCAGAGGAATTTTTTTGCTGCTCATGTAATTGATTTAATTTATAAGTATAATTGTTTTTGATAAAGATGTTAACATCAATATATGATAAATGAAAAACTATTTAAAAATAATTTTTTAATTATAATTTGTTTATTTCCTACATTTTAATATATATTTATAATCTATTTTTTCATAGAAAAATTGAAATATCAATATTATCAAATAAGAAACCACAAAATTTTAAATATAAAAATGAAAATAAAATGTAAATTTTTTAAAAAACCAATTTTTCACTTTTAAATTACATTTACATATGAATAATCATAATATTTCAATTAACAGAATTCCAAATACTTTATCTTCAATAAATAAGTGTTTAAGAAAAAATTTTATTTTTTCATCTATTAATAAAGGTAACCTCAAAATATAAGTCACATGAATATTATATATTCTAACATTTTTACAACTTTTTTTTTTCTTTTTTATGTTTTTTTATTACATGTAAACTAAATCTCCCGTCTACAAATGCACTTATTTTATATTTACCAAAATATATATATGTATTGAAATATTATTAAAATAAAAAAATTAATTTTTTTTAAAGTTTTTTTTTATAGTTTATGATAATATATATATGAAACTCGTAATATGGAAATTTTGAGGTCAGTGTATAGTTTAAGTTATACAAGGAAATTAACAGAAAATGAAAGTTACACAAATAAAAAGAATATGCAAGCTAATGATAACTAAGTCAATCTTGAAGAAGTTAATACAGAATGTCAGAAAAAGACAAAATGGATAATGACTGAAATAATTTAATACATTATTAAATTAATAAAGGGTACACTATGTTTTTTTATTCATGGTTAACAGTACTTATGAGGTCAAATCAAAGTAATCCTATATATTATAATAGTTCTGTGCTTAGTAGAAATAACATACTATTAGATACTTCAAATCATATATTTCGTGATGAAAAAATATTTTTGGAATTTAGAAAATAACTTAAAGAAATAATTTTCTGAGACCATAAAAGAAATTCTAACTGGAGATAAGTAGAAGAAGAATGGAATAATGAAGAAAAAAAATAGAAATATAAATACTTGAAAAAATGAATTGCATCAGTATGGTATATTGTTACGAAATATATATCCCTGATTTATTAATTTCCCGTTCAATGACCTTGTTAGAGTAATAATCAATAAAAGGCTTCATTGACCTTTTTGATAATTTATAGAATGATAAAGATTCATATTAAGTATTTCCTGTGCATTCTAGATAGCTAAGAGATAAGTATGGAAATATATTAAAATATGCACAATTATGTTTTGTACGTGCAAAAGTATCACAATGTATTTAACCAGAAAGGGTAAATCCTCTAAAGTGTGGTAGATGTATATCCATAGAATATATATGATATTAATAATAAAAAAAAAACAAAATATATTAAATTTCCATTTTTTTATTACACAAATTGTTCATTTTTTTTTTTTTTATTTTTATAGTTTTATATGAAAAACTATTGAGAGATACAATAAAAACTATGAAATATCTGAAATGTTAATCTTATTATATACTTATAATTATATAAAAGGAATATAATTATATACTTAATTTAATTTTATAATAAATAGAATAAGTAAAAATCTCCCTGTTTGTGATTTATTAATTATCAATATAATGACTTAGTGTTGATGAATAAATTAACAAAGAACATATAGAGAAAACTTATTTCGTTTTAGCAAAACAAAATATTAAACAAATTATTTACTTTTGTTAATTAATATCAATTATTAGTTACATTAGTTAATTACTATTTAAGTCAATTTAAACAATACTTTATTTGTGTAATATTTAGCATTACATTTTTAATCTTTTATTAAAAAAATTTGTTCTCACTATTCACTTAAAAAAAAAAAATTAAGTATCATACTTTTTTAAAAATGATATTTTTTTTATTTTTTTTAAATTATCGACATAATTACAAAGAAAGTAAGTATTTTTTTGTTCATAAGTTTAATTAAACACAAACTAAAAGAAAGTACAATAAAATATAAGTATTTTTTTTTTTGTGTACTTGTTTTTTTCTTATTTTGCTCATTTATATGTACATATTTTCTTATGTTTTTTTTTTTTTTTTTAGCATATGCTAATTAAAAGGTATTTAATTATTTTTTTAACTAAATATTATTTAAAATAAATCAACAGCATTATTCATGGACCATAAGTAATTAAATTGGTTAATAAAAGGTAGTATTAACCTCTTCATAGTAATAACCAATAGTTTTATTAAAAATACAAAATTATTCACGGTTGATACTTTAAAAAAAAAGGAAAAAAACTGTTTTATTAATTTTTTTTTTAACCTTTTCTTTTGGTAATATGAAAATAATTTTCAAAAAATATTTTAATATATTTTTTATTCCACATAAAATATTTATTTATTTTAATTTATTCAAAAGGAATAAAAACAAATTCCTATATAATTATTTAGAGAATTGTTATTAAAAAATTTTTATATAAAATTAATAATGAGGATTTAAACTTTTAATAAAATTAAAGAATTTTTATTAAAATAAATAAATCCATCTTAAAAGCAAGACATAACCAATGATGTAAACTGCGAAGTTTAATAATTTGTAAAATCTTTATTTTTACAATTGAATAAATAGTAATCTTTACATGCTCTTTATTAATTTGTCTATTCATTAATCTAAAACATTCACTGAGAGAGTGATTAATAAAATACATATTAATTATAATTTGTTACTATTTATTTAAATCAAATATATAATGCATATATGATGCATTTTATATAAATATATAAGTAATAATATCACTAGGAACAAAAAATAAATATACATTATGGAAGGAACAAAAAATTATAGTTCAATAAATAGCATTATCTACCCTTTAAAACCTTCATTAGGATAAAACAAAATATATTTAAAATTTTAGTTATTCATATATGATGTTTGAAAAAACTCTCAAAACACACACAGTAAAAAAAAATGTATTTTATATTTTATATAAAAAATTTTTTAAGTTTAATTAATGGAAGATTGATAAAAATATGTAAATTTTATCAAAGTAATTTTTGATGAAAGTTATGTATTTAATATATTTAAGTATTTCTAGTTTAGTATTTAAACCTTAATGTACATCATGGTTTTTATTAAACCATATGAACGTTATAAAAATTGAATGAATTAAAAACAATAAACTATTTATTTAATGCAGAATTTATTAAAGAACTTGAAATTTAATTTAAAATGAATTTTTATTTTGTGTTAGATATTGTAGTTACATAAAAATTATTAATTATTATACGTAATTTAGTTAAAATAAAGTTAATAAATGCTATATTGCATGTTCTTTGTTAATTTGACATTTTTATATAGTTTAAAAATATTTAAAAATTCAATTTATATATTAATTACTAATAAACAAAAAAAGATATATGCAAACTTTAAAAGTAATTATAAAATCAAAATTTTTTTTTACTTGTAAAAAATAATTTTTTTGTTTAATTTTTAAGAAAATATAACATTAAATCTATATTTCTCGTAACTGTTATGAAAATTTTTAATATCATAAAGAAAATAAAAAATTGAATTTTTTTAATAGTTTTTTGTTTTCAGAACTAAAATAAACTTTTTTCAAATTAATCAATTCCTTATTTAATAAATGTATTAAGCAACTAAAGACTCTAAACCTTTTTGCTTCTCCTTCTAAGTAAACCTCTAATGATAATATGTTTTCATTACTATGTACAAGTTTATTAATAAAATTATTTCTTTCATAAATTTCAAAAATTTAAATAATAAATTAGTGGATTTATTTTCTGGAATAAACAAAATATTTTCATTTGGTCTTTCATAGAGATGTAAAATTTTTCTTATACCAAACCTGCTTTCCGATTCATTTTTAAGTTATTTAATAAAATCTAAAAATTTACTTATTTGTTTCTTATACATTAATGAGAATACAATAACACCAAATATTTCATTAATTTCATTTCTATCAATTGATCCATAAAGCTTCTTTACTAATGATCTAATACCTAAACTATTTACATCAAAACCAAAAATAGCTTCAACATGTGTGTTAAATTCAGCTATGGATTTTTTTATATAATTTTTCTATTGTAAATATAATTCATATACATTAATGAAAAAATTATCCTTAAATATTTCTTCTCCGTGATATTTTTCAATTTTTTCTAATGTAAACTTATTACGAGAATTATCTACTTCAAGAATGTATTCAATAAAGGATATTAAACATTTTATGTTGACATTTAATATTTTATTTAGTTTTACAAATAAAATGTGAGTTTTTAATTTTATAGTTTCATCGAACGTTCTACGCCTTCTATCAGTAAGTTCGTTAATATACTCAACATTTAATTTAAGGGGATTATTTGTATTAACTCCTTTTTTTTGGTTATAGCTTAATATGGAATTAGTAAATTCTTTCAAAAGTTCTTTCATTATATTTCTGTAAGAATTAATGGGAACGTTATCTCTTGCATAGGAATATTTCATAGGAAACCTATTTACATGTATGTCTAAATACCTAATAGTATACCTAAGATAATTGAAAACATTCATATTTAATTTAGAATAAAATTCTTTATTATTTTTATTTAATTGATCAAAATAGTCAATGGATTATTATAATGTTAATGGGAAATCTTTGTTAAAATTTAATTTCTCTAAATATTCTTGTGCGTATTGATTGTTAATAAATAAATATGTATCATCCAAATGATTAAACAAGGGAACATTTACACTATTAAATACATTTAATTCATATTCATCAGAAGAATATATATCCTAAAATATCACATTTAAATGTTTTTTTACACCATCAAGTGAAATCTGGAAAAAACTTAACAATTGATGGTATGTAATTTCCATTACGTTATTTATAGAATTAAGGTGCAATTTTTCTTTCTTTAAGCATTCTTTATAATTTCTTAAAAATAATATATCAATTAATTTTACAAATAAAGTTCTTGAATCTTCAAAATAGACTTCAGTTGTATTTTTACTTCTATTTGCATTCATGTTATACAATAATTGTACATCCCTTATTGAGAGACCTAAACCATTTAAAATACCTTTATCTTTAACATGAAAAAATCAGCTAAATTTCTTATTAATTTTATATTCGTGTGAATTAATTTGAGTTTAAACCTGATAAAATATAAAAAAGTATTATTTTGAAGTATACTACAAACATGTATTTTTTTTTTCTTATAAATTAAATTAAATACCTCTTTATGCTATAACAATGATTATTGCCATGAAAGAAAATATATATTACTATTACAATCTATAAAGACTTAAAAAAAAAAAAAAAAGTAATAAAACTCTTTTCTTTTATGTAGTTAAAATATTTATTACTAATAAATTAAAGTAATACACCAAAACTATGTGATTTTCCATTTGAAATAGGTATAATTATTTCTATTCTTATAAGATATTTAGGATTAAAAATTTATTTACAATAAAACTTGGTTCAATATTCTTTTTATTTGCATAATAAAAAAAATTCTTTTATTTAAATTTTTCTTTTTATATGTAATTAAATAAATTTATAAAAAATAAAAAATACCTTTTTATCGTTTTTAAAATAAACATGTAATTAAAATTTTTCCAAATATTATGTAATTTTTATTTAACATAAATATTTTATATCTTAAAATCACAATATCTTTTGAAATTTTATTTAACAACGCATTTTAAAAATAAACAAAAAGAAAATTTTATGAAGCAAAAATATACATATACATGTATATAAGTATATTTATATGTTTATTCTTATCATATTTAATAAAAATAATTTATTTTAAAACTTTGAAATTTATTATTTTTTGAATTTTATATTTTTCTTATAAATGAATGTTGAGTAAATTTCATAGATAAAATTAGTATAATAAATTTTGAACCTTTAAAAAATTTTTACAATGAATTTCAAATAAAATAAAATTTTAGGATATATTTAATATAAAATGATTTTAAGTTTAAAGTCTAAATATAAATATGCTTATAAGTGTTATTTATTTTATTTATATTTTTAATATATTATCCTTTTTTTTCAGTATCATACGTTTATATACAACACAAGTTATTTTTCCTATAGAAAAAGGAAAAATAAAAATATGACAACTTTTTTTGCTATATTAATGAATTATGTCAATGATATCGATAACTGTTCCTATAATAAAATTTAATTAATATTTTTACAAACAAAATAAACTAAAACATATATATACTTTTAAAAAAAAAAAATTTAAATAAATATTTGAGCATAAGAATTAATATTATTAAGATATCAAGATGGAATAAATTTTTTTTTCAAAATATTTATAAAAGAAAAAAAATAATTTTTAAAAAGCTTATTTATTATTGTAGTTTATATAAAATATATCATAAAAATTAAAGATAAAATGCATTTCTTTCTGATTGTATTTAATTAAAATTAACAAATTTTCATATGAAGTTAGAATTTAACTTTATTTAGAAAAAGTATGATGTAGTAAGTTTAATTTTATAGTTGATTTTTCACTAACATTTATTTTAATTTCAACATTCTCACAAAATTTTATTTTAATATAAACTATATTTTACTGTGTTATCATTTCTCTTGATAAGTATATTTCGTTGAAATTTTTTATAATTATATTTTACAAAATTTATTGTCTCTTAATTCATTGTAAAATGAATTTAATAAAAGAAATTCATATTTTGTTACATTCATTATAACACTTTAATTAACTAATAAATGTGAATTAATTGATTTTATTCAATTTTTATTTTTTAATTCATGTTTTAAATAAGGAAAATACTAAAATTTTAGATTTTTAATTATTTTAATTATAGATTAAAATTTTTTACTTTACATAAAACTAAAGATCTTTAATTTATTATTAAAATAATTGCTGTTACTATTTAAATGTTATCGTGATTTTGGAAAATAATATTTTATTTTTTATTTATTAGTGACATAAAACTCTGCTACACTTTAGAAGATATGCATCTTGTTAACTGTTTTATGGTTTCCTTATGCATAAAAAATATAGTTGTTGACATTTTTATATATATTTCCATATATATCTTTTAATTATATAGCATACATATGAAATATTTTCAAATAAACTACTATCATTCTATAAATTCTTAAAAATATAAATGAAATATTTCGTTGAACCCTCTGTAAATGGAATAATCGACATAAATATTATTTAAATAAAGCAAATATACTCTTGTTTACACGTGCTAATTATGAGAGCAATGTGTGCATATTTAAATTTGTGCAATAAAATTACACTAAAAAGAAAATACTCATAATAATAGCAAGTTTAATCAAAGAAAAAAAAAGAATTTTTCATATACTGATTTAATAATAAACAGTTTAAGATTTTTAATGATATTTAAAGTAGTCAAATTAATAAAGAGCATGAAAAGAGATCTCTATTATTTTATTTATTATAAAATTAACTAATATAGATAATTATATACCTTTTATATATCATATGTTCACCATAAATTAAATAAATTCATTTTTATATTTCATAGCTTATATCATTACTCTTAATTTTAAAAAAACTAAAAACTAATACAATGCGTTTCCAAATAAAAGGTAGCAAAAAAAAAAAAAAAAAATGTTCTGTTTTTCACAAATTTGTTATTAACATAATCCACATTTTATGAACATATCTCTACTTCTTAAAGAAGATATATAATTTTAATTTTTCTCGTAAGCTATTTGTTGGTTTTTTTGCACATATAAAGATTTGTTGTTCATTTAATCATTGATATATCTTTATATATGTCTACTAATTATCTTACATGTACAAACAACTTAAAATAGGACACTATCATTTTATGAATTATAAAAAAGATTGATATATGCTTTTGTTGGCAATATACTAAAAGTTCGTCACTAAATAAGAACATTTTGTATTTTTTTTTTAATTATAAGTATATAAATTCACCAAAATAAATACAACAAAATATGTTTATATTTTTTTTTAGTTTATGAACTCAGGTAAATGTATTTCCCTTACATTTTTTTTTTCTTTTAATATGAACTAAGAAAAATGTTAATACTTATTTTATTTATTTAAATATCATTTAAATTACGTTAATGATATAATTTATAAACTAAAACATCAAAAAATGGAACAATATATTACTAAAGAATTACATTTAAAATTATATTATACAAGCTCTTATTTTTCACAATAATATAGTGAAAATAATAGTTCTTCTTATGTCTTAGAATATATATATAAAAACTTATCTAAAGAAAAAAATTTATCTTTTGATTAAATAATATGAAACGAACTATCAATATATAAGAATACCTTGTACTATGCATTAGAAGAAATACAGTATTTTGTATTTTTTAGAATTTAATAAATATTACCATACATTTCACATAAATTACATAAAAATATATAGTGAATGGGAACCATTAAGTGATCATTGTGAAAAGTTAAATGATAATTTATGTAAAATAAGAAAAAAAAAACACAATTAAAAATAATAATATTAATATAAGAAATATTGTTTCTTACGATATGTTTCAATTCACCATATGTCAAATGAAGTAGTACAGTAGTGATTTATTAATTTCCTATTCAATGACTATGCTAGTATATTTAACAAAAAGATTAATAAAGAGAATGTAGAGTTTCCTCAACTAATTTAATGAATTTATATGTAACTTTAATCCTACAAACCAGTAAAATGTATTTATATAGTCTACATTGAACATTTCTTCTTTCTGAGAGGCATTTTGCTTAAATAAAAATCTCTTTTTATATTAAAAATTAAAATCCTAGTTTATTATCAATTTCAATTAATAGTATTTTACTTATAATTCTATGAAAAATGTTTAGCAACTGAAGTTCATTCTATTCAAATTATCAAAAATAAGCAATTAATAAAATACAAATTATATAAATTATATAAATATTACAAATATGAAAATTTTATATTCCTTAATATAAATTTTTCTTAGAAAAACTTAAACAAAATATACTACAAAGAACTTTTTAGTAAACTCCTCATTGAAATTTTTTAATCATTAAATCATCTTAAACGTAAATATATTTTTTTATATCTTTTAAATTTATAAAAAGAAAACAAAAAAAATTAATTTATTTTTTTATTAAGTACTTTCATAGTTAACTGTTTATTTTTCATAAATATATTACTTCTTATCCCCAAAGAGGATAATAATACCTTCTATTAACACATATACCTGTACACCAAGAAAAAAAAAAAAAGTACACATAAAGTATGTACACTTAATTAGAAAAAAAATATTTACATTAGAAGTTAACAAAAAAATAAACATATTGTATTTTATTTTTGCAAGTATATAATTTTGCAATTATATCATCTAAAATAATTAAAGTGTGCACTGTAGAAAAAAATCAATTAATATGGATGCTTTATAAAATTCATTATAGAGGATTCCTTTTTAATAAAAATAAATAAAAGACAAACATCCATTTTACACTTTCTTTAATTAAGTTAATAAAATAAATTTCCATAGAAAAGAAAAATCTACATCAATTTAAGAATTTTTAATTTTATAAGAGGATAATAAAATATTTATAGATACAATAAATATATTTTAAAAAAAAAAAATAGCTAAATGAAAAACAAAGCAATCACAATTATACAAATTATAAAGTATGCATTGTAGGATATATAATTATCTTAACTATAAATATCATGTAATACCAAATATCTTGATTCAATTTCAAGAAAAATAAAATATCTAAATTAAATTAATCGAAGTAATTTATTTAAATTGCTAGACATATATTTTAATAATTTAAATAGGTTATCGTTCTCTCATTTATTTCCCCATTATTAATTTAAATACATTCAAAAAAATGACAATTTTATGGAGAAAAAATAAATCATATTTACAAGCTTACAAAAATTTTCTTAACTCGATGTTATAACGTAAAATATTTTTTCAAAATCTTATATAATATTTGCATATGTATTTTTTGTTAAATTCCATATGCATTGTGTTCCATAGAGAAATATAAAACTCTTACTAATTACAATTTTTAATATATATAATTTATTTCAGATTCTGTAGATATTTTTCCAATGTCAATAAAGATTTTTTTAAAATATATTTATACTTTTAGGTAATTGATATTAATAAAGGAAATTATGAAATAATAATAAAGCTTTATAATTTTAAAGTAAAAAAAAAAAAATATATATATATATAAAAAAGCAAAGGCGTTATATATATAATAAAAGTTGTTAC